TGGTATTTGTCTCTCACCTGTTGCAATCGTTGTTGGTCTGGGACTCCTAAAATATCTGTTTTGATTGACCCGTGAGTTTTTCAATCCTTTTTTGTTTTTTTCTTTTTCTTTTTTAGTCAATGTATGGCTCTATTACTGGGTTTACCTCTCCCTCCATGATTTGTGATTCATTTTAGGTGGCTTGATCCCAATTATTTGTTTTTAGTAGTAGTGATTATTGCCGAGTGTTGTTTAGATAGTAGCATTCTCAGATGGCAGAAATTACCAATGAATCCACCATTAGTTCCCAGCCACCTATAAGGGTGAGTTCCATCATGGCTACTACATTTGAAAACCTCAACCCTAGCCTTAAAATCACCACCTCTATTTAATAGTCAGAACTATTTTGCTTGGTCACAGATAACACTTTTTTTACACAGTTGAGGGAAGATGGGTTTTGTTGATGGGAGAATCACATCACCTAGCATCACTGATCTTGGTTATGATCAAAGGGAAATTACTAATTCTCTGATTATGGGGTGGCTCATCCACTCAATGGTACCGGATATTGGTGAGGGTTACTTATCTATGGATACAACAAAGGACAGTTGGGATGTTGTGGCTGCTACTTGCTCCCGAAAAGGGAATTTTTCACCAACCTTTGAGTTACACCGCTCAATTGAGCGCACAATACAGGCGAGATGACTATCCTTCAGTACTTTACCTTCCTCAGTAATGGCTGGAAACATCTGGATCATCTTCAGGACTACAAACCAGTCTGCCCGACTGATTCTGTGGGGTACCACAAGTTTGTTGAGTAGGAGGGGGCATTCAAATTCCTAGATGGTCTCAATGTGGGGTTTGATCATGTTCAAAGTCGTGTACTTGGTATGGATGTTCTCCTTTCCTTTCAGGAAGCGCTTGCTTATGTTTAGAATGAGGAGAGTCGCCGCTCAGCTATGTTTCTTTCTGCCTCCACAAAGCGCTCAGTCTTAGTCTCTGTCCATTCTAGGGATGGAGATTGTCAATCCCGTGATACCCGCAGTCCTTCTAAGAAGGATACTTTGTTCTGTGACTACTTTCGTCGGCCTAGACACACTCATGAGACATGTTGGAAGCTTGATGGTACTCCATCTGGGGGTCGTGGTAACCGCGCTGGTAGTCGAGGGGACCGATTTGGACAGTCTACAGGATGTGGGTCTAATCCATGCGCTCGTTATTCTATTGCGGTTAATACACATGACTCTGCTCCAACTGTCCCATCTACTGATGCTGGGGCTAGTATGTCTTCTTCTGAGTTTGAGGATGCTTTACATCACTTGCTAGACCCCCAGTCTTCCACTGATGCATCTTCCTCTTTGTTTGTCTATTCAGGTAACTTAGTCTCTTCTCCTAATGCTTTCCTATCCCATTAGTCTTTACCATGGATTATTGATTTTGGTGCCTCAGATCATATGTCTGGGTCGTCTGATCTTTTCTTGGACTATAAGCCCACTTTCGGTCAACATAAAGTTAGGATTGCAGATGGAACTATTTCTTTTGTTTCGGGAAAAGGTTTAATCCGTGCCACTCCTATACATTTGTCATTCGGTTTACATATTCCAAATTTCTCTATTAATCTTTTATCATTGAGTTGTCTTAGGTTCCTAGTCTCTGTTTTCTATTTCCCCTAAAATCTTTGGTTGCATTTGTTTTGTCCATAATCATTCCCCTACTCAGGGTAAGTTGGATCCTCGCTCTCTCAAGTGTGTTTTCCTGGGGTACTCACCCACTCAAAAGAGGTATAAGTGTTATCACCCTCTATCTCATAAGTGGCTTGTCTCCATGGATGTCACCTTCTTCGAGTCTCAGTCCTACTTGTCCTGTTCGATGTCCCAGACATCCCTTCAGGGGGAGCCTTGGTATGAAGAGATTCCTATTGTTCCTGTTGCTCCTGGATCATTACAAGTTGTGCAGACTGATTAGGGTGAACCAAATGTTATTAAGGACAAGGAAGGGCAAGTCTCTATCAGGGACAAAGAAAGAAAGTTATTTGAATGCAAGAGACCAATTCTAATCAGCCACTGTTGTCTCTTTCTCTTGATGAGAGTCCAGGTAATCCTCGTGTTCCCCTTGATTCCACTGATATTACTATTCTTGAGCCTACTGATCTTGATATACCTTTTGCCAAACGAAACAGTGTGAGATCTTGTACTCATCATCCAATCTCTAACTATGTGTCCTATTTTCATTTGTCTTCCTCATATAAAGCCTTCGTGTCAAAAATTTTCTTTGTTAGTATACCTAATCATTTTCAAGATGATCTTATTATCTCTGAGTGGAAACTTGCCATGGTAGAGGAAATGAAAGCATTTCGTAAGAATGACAGATGGGATTTGACTGAATTACCTAGGGGCAAACGAATTGTGAGATGCAAATGGGTGTATACTGTGAAGTACAAGGCAGACGACTCAATTGAGCGGTACAAGGCTCGAGTTGTGGCAAAGCGTTTTTACTCAGTCCTATGGGGTGGACTACCAAGAGACATTTGCTCCAGTTGCAAAGATGAATTCAGTCAGAGTACTTCTCTCTCTGGCAGCCAATTTGGATTGGCCACTTTATCAGTTTGATGTGAATAATGCTTTTCTACATGGTAACCTAGAAGAAGAGGTGTACATGGACATTCATCTTGGCTTTGAAACTCTTCAAACTAAGGCCATGTTGTTTAGCGAATTAGATTGGATGAGATTGTTATTGAGATGATGATTAGTGAAGAGATTGTTAATGTGGAAATTGTTAGTGATGAGATTAAGTAAAAGTGTTTGTTTTGATGATAGTATGGGAGATAGTTAGTAATGGGATTGTTAAATTATTTTTATATAAAATAAATTAAAAAAATTATTTCTATATTAAAAAAAAAAAACTAAAACAAATATAAAAACAAACAGATGCACTTGGTAAAAAAATTTTTTTTTTTATATAAAATAGACTCAATCCACCCATTATTTTCCTAATCCTACCCAAAACCTAGCCAAGCTAATCCCCTTACTGAGGGGGATTACTAAGCCTCTCGCATTATCAATCCTCCCTCCCAAATCATCACCAAACACGCTATGGGTGGGACCCATAGTCATAACAATCTAATCCGGCCACCTACGCCAGTAAACAAACATGACCTAAGGGTAAGGTGTGTTGACTTTGGAAGCCATAATATAGTCTCAAACAGTCCCCTAGGGCTTGGTTTAAGAGGTTCACTCAGGCGATGCTGAAATATGGCTTCATATAGAGTCAGGCTGATCATACTCTATTTATTAAACATTCCTCTAATAGTAAGGCTACCGCTCTCATTGTATACGTGGATGACATAGTGCTTATAGGAGATGATGTTAATGAAATCCCTTTGCTGAAGAAGTATTTAACAAGTGAGTTTGAAATCAAAGACTTAGGGAACCTGAAGTACTTTTTGGGAATTGAAGTGGCTAGGTCCAAAAACGGGATTTTCATTTGTTAGAGAAAATATATCCTTGACTTGTTGAAAGAAACATGGATGCTTGGAAGCAAAGCCTATGACACACCACTAGAGCCTAATCAGAAACTTAGTGATGATAGTGGGGGAGTAGTTGATAGGGAGAGTTATCAGAGACTAGTGGGTAAACTCATTTACTTATCTCATTCTCGTCTTGATATTGCTTTTGCCGTTAGTGTGGTTAGCCACTTTATGCATGCTCCTCGTGAAATACACTTGGATGCAATTATGGGAATCTTGAAATACTTGAAATATTCTTCTGGAAAAGGTCTTTATTTTTTCAAGCATGATCATCTTAGTGTAGAAGCTTATACAGATGCAAATTGAGTAGGATCAGTAACTGATAGGAGATCCGCTTCAGGGTATTGCACCTTTGTTGGTGGCAATTTGATTACTTGGAGAAGTAATAAACAAAATGTGGTTGCCAGGTCTAATGCAGAAGCTGAGTTTAGAGCTATGGCACAAGGTGTGTGTGAGCTCTTATGGATTAAGTTGTCATCGAGTGATCTGGGAATTGGCCGGACAGACTCCATGCGGCTATATTGTGATGATAAGACTGCCATCAACATAGCTCAGAATCTGGTTCAACATGACAGGACAAAACATGTTGAGATTGATCGTCACTTCATCAAAGAGAAGCTCACTAGTGGCATAATATGTACATCATTTGTGAAATATGGTGAACAACTTGCGGATATCCTCACAATGGGAGTTGGGAGTAAACCGTTTCATGAGATTCTTGACAAGCTGGGCATAAGAGATATCTTTGCACTAGCTCGAAGGGGAGTGTTAGAATATATGTTAGAATTATTCTATTATGTGTTTCCTTATTTAGATTATGTTTGATTCCTTAGTCAGTGCCTTAGGATTTCCTTTCCTTGTAATCTTCTTGGATTAATTAATATAAAAGGGTGTGATATCATTATCAACCCTAAGTTTTGATTTCTCCTAAAACAAACAGTTTGTTGCATATTTGGCATGCATAGTATACTCTGAGCCTCTAGGTTCATAAAGTGTATGTTAGCATTAGTAGTGGCATCAACGGATCATATGTATAAATCGAATAAAAAAGAGTGTATGTTAGCATTAGTAGTGGCATTTAGCCTTGGCACGCCCTTTATAACACTATCTTGAGAAAGAACATGCATGTCATCATTGTGTCTAGAGTGTGTCCTGCAGAAAAAAAAAAAAGGATGTATGACTGCGTGTCTGACACGGGTCTCTTGGTTCTTCTTAGATGTCCATCAACCATGATTTTGTACCAAAGGGTTTGTGCACGAAATGTGATGAACATTAAAACCATCCCTTCAATCATAACCATTATTACATTCAACAAGCAGACCATCCATATAATATAAATAGATTCCTAGTTAATTGACTCAAACATCAAAATTAAACAACTCAATTATACAACACTGAATAAATTGAATGAGGTGCTACTTATGTGACAATTTATTTGGTAAAAGAATTACATGTCAACTAGCATGGTAAGAAAGCGATAGTACAAGGAACTTACTTTGGACCATTCCACTTGAACAATGTGATAAACAAGTAGATTGCCAAACAAGAAACCAATGCTCCCATTGCTAGAGGAGTATCAAGAGTACTCTGACAGAAAATAAGAATTGGAGATTTAAATGCATTGCAAAATTGTAAACGTGGAAAGAAATTGCAAGGATGCAAACCAAATTGAATGTAATGTGTGACATCCATTGGATCCAGTGATACACTACTGTAACATCATCACATTATATTCTATCTTGCATAATAGACCACCTGGAAAATAAATGCGGCTGCAATGACACGCATGGCCCATTTCACAAATTGAGCTATGCCAACGTCTACACTTCCATCGTCTGAAATAACAAATTTCCGCACAATCCAATATCCTAAAGCAGCTCCTGCAAGGACAATCCCAAGTAGTACAAATACAGACACCTGAACCCAAAAACAATGTTAATAGTTTGGAGAAATGAATGAGGTTTAAGTTGAAAACCAGATGTACTCAAAGAAACAATTTAAGGTTACATAGTTGTTTATGCTCCAACTATGCTATTATCATACAAACGAAGATATCCATTCATTCTATGGCTTTGATTTAATGATATTCATTGGGCTTTAGCTCAAGCCTCGTCCCTATACGTATGTAGGATTAAAAGGAGGATGACGCTTGTGCCAGCTTTGTCTACATGTGTATATGATGTGAAGATCTGCATGTTTTTCCTTCTTGAGAGAGAAATGTGTTGTCAAGACCTTTGTATATAACTGGTTTGATAAACATGATGTATAGTTCTTTTGTTTTAAGTTGTACTCCATTGTGACTCAGTCAGAATGTTGTAATAAATAAAGAAGTTTCATTTCATCTATCTATGCACTTGCGCTGAATGGATGTTGTGGGATTAAACAAGTTAAAGAATTTGAAGGCTTCCTCTATTTGTGATGATTTTACCCCAACTTTTAACTACAGGACTACAAGATTGTTCAGCCAAGCCTTTGGTAGTCAATGACTACTGACAGGTCACTACCCTATCCTAGTTTGGGGTGGATGGGGTCATAAAGGAATTGGTATTAGAGCACAAGTATAATTTACTTTCACGCAGTACATCCTTCAGAGCAATAGGTTCTTTTATAATGGAATTTAGAGTTGCCTTTGAAAACTCTGTCAAGCCTCGCCCAAATTATGGGTTATTCAACCAAGTTTTATATCAAGTTGTATTATATGTAAATGTGTATACTACGGGCAAAGTGTCATATTATAAGTCAAGTATTTTCCTAATAAATACACATTATAGCAAATATTTTTAATTCATGTTTTCTGTGCATAGAAATAAAGTGAAGGGAAAGGTAAGGTAAGGAAAAGGCCGAACCTTCCACTACACAAACGGACAGGTTGGAAAGAATGCTGGAGGGAAGAACGGAGACCTTACAACAGCGTTACAATGAACCACCAGTTCAATGAAATCAGGATAATCAGAATCAAAACCAGCAAAATAAAGATCTACCCAACCAAGGACAACAGAATCAGGAACCACCACCAGTCCCAGTAGATCAAATGGAGCAAAGACCACGTGTGACAATCAAAGAATTCAACATACAGTCTCTAGCAATTGAAGGTGGACTTGACCCTCTAAAGGTTGAAGCTTGAGTAATGGGGATTTAGAAGATCTTTGAATTGCTTCCATGTTCTGGAACGCACAAGATTTCACTTGCTACTTATATTTTGGGTAAATTACAAATTCACCCCCTGATATTTGCTTAAAATACAGATTATCCCCTGTGGTTTTGGAAATTACAAATACCCCTTTGTCAAAATTTGTCATTTAATATAATTGATAGAAAAAAAAAAATTCCTAACTATCCTCCAATACAACAATGAAATTACCAGACCTATTAATTGAAATATATTGCAAACATTATTAAAAGCTGTTAATTAACTTAATAGTTGATTAATGAAAGGGGTCATTTGTTATGTCATTAGAAATTTTAAGGGGCAAGATGTAATTTTTCAAAATCACAGGAGCCAATTAGTATTTTAAGCAACCCTCAGAGAGTGTATTTGTAATTTACCTTATGGTAAAGCATCTAGATGCTGGATAATGGTAAGAGATTAGAATTCAAGAGTGACTTGGAACAATTTCTTGAAGATCTTTTATAAGAAATACTTTTCTCAGATTATTAGGGACAAAAAAGGGATGGAGTTCATGGCATTAATGCAAGGTGGAAAAATTTAGTAGAGTGTGATAGTGTACAAAGTTAGCTTGTTCTACACCACATATGGTAGACACAAATTACCATCGGGCCAAGAAATTTAAGGGTGGTTTGAGGGGGATTACCAAAGGCCGGGTTGACGTTTTGAGGCCATCTACCTATGCAGGAGTGTTGGACAGAGCACTTATAGCCAAGAAAGACATTGATGAGCTGGAGAAGTCAAGAAAGTGGCAAAGAAAGGAGCAAGGGTTTGAACCAAGAAAAGCACAGTTAAATACAACAATTAAGAAGCCAAGTGCAGGAGAATCGAGTACTTCTAATCAAAGTGGCAATACTCCACGGGTTTGCTCAACATGTCGAAAGAATCATTGAGGGTCTTGTCATTGGAATATTGAAGCATGTTTTAGATGTTGGCGAATGGGGCATCAGCTAAAGGATTGCCTTAAAGCTCGGAAAGGCACCAATATTGCAATAGCTAGTATATTTGATTCAGCCCAAAAACCTGCCCCAAGGCCTAAAATAAAGAAGCCAACAAGGCAAGGGAGAGTGTTTGGACTTATCCCAAGAGATACTAAGAATACCGACTTAGTGGTTTCAGGTATACTTCCTATTTGCACTCATCCCGCTTATGTGTTGATAGATTCAGGTCCTACTCCTTTGTTTCAATTCAGTTTGCTGATAAATTAACTAGACCACTTGAAACTTTGGATTATATGCTATTTTTTTTATTGGCACTGAGGTGTCCGAATCAAAACCCGACTAATCCCCAAGGGTGCACATGCCCTCTCCAAGGAGTTACTTGCAAACTTTTTTTTATTTTATTTTATTGGCACTGAGGTGTCGGGATCAAAACCCGACTAATTAATTCAAGGGTTTGAAACTTTGGATTATATGTTGTCGGTATCTACTCCCCTCTGGAGGCTCTATGACATGTACATCTATCTACAAAGTGTAATATAGTGGTTGGGGATGTAAATTTAATGGCTGATTTATAATACCCTTGGAGTCGAGTTAAGGTAACCATTAAGAACAAGTACCCATTGCCAAAAATAGATGATTTATTTGATGAATTATAGGGAGCAAAGGGTATTTGCAAGGATTGATCCTAGATCTGGTTATCATCAATTTAAAGTCAAAGCAGAGGATGTAGAGCAACTACTTTCCAAACTAGGTATGATCACTTCACTATGAATTTCTGGTTATGCCAATTGGAATGACAAATGCACCTGTTGCTTTTATGGACCTAATGAATCTTGTATTCAAGCCATATCTGGATGATTTTCTGGTTGAGTTTATTGATGAAATTTTCATCTATTCTAAAAGCAAGGAAGATCATGAGTACCATTTGAGATTGACACTCCAAACTTTAGGGGATAAGAAGCTTTACGCTAAATAGAAGAAATGTGAGTGTTGGTTGACCAGTGTATTAGTTTGGGCCATGTGATTAATGAAGAAGGTATTGCTATTGATCCACAAAAGATTGAAGCAATTTTGAATTAGTTGAAACCAACTAATGTGATGGAAATACACAGTTTTCTAGGTTTAGCTAGTTACTATAAGAAGTTCATGAAAACTTCCCAAAATTACTATTGACACAGTTGACTTAAAAAAGGGGTTTTATTTGAATGAACAAAAGAACAGGAAGCTTCATTCCAAGATTTGAACATAAGACTTCTTATAGCACATATTTTCATTTTGCCCTAAAGTACGGAAGGTTTTGCAATTTATAGTGATAATTCTTATTTTGGATTGTGTTTTGAGGAAAAATGGTAGGGTGATGGCGCAGCCATTGACTATTTGGAAACCCATTATCGGATTTGGAAGCCAAGGGTGAAGCACAAGCCTGAAGGTGTTTTGGTCTCATAAATGTAATTGGTAGAATATTATTATTAGTACTTAGATTTAATTACTCAATATTAGCATATGATTTGATTTGGTTTCCCAAATAATATCAGGAAAGTTTCCAAATTAGATTAGGGTTTTAGTCCTATATATTAGGAGGGTTCTAACATTGCCATTATCTATAGGACTAAAAGGTTGTGGCCCTTTGTGTTTCCTCCTCTTCTCCTATTCTATTCTCCATCATTTTGGTATCCAAGCACAAGCTCCGAACCCCCTTTTTTTCTCTCCCCCTTCCTCTCTCATCTATCATCTAAATCAGTGGAAAATTATGAAGCACAAGTAGCGGTGCAGATACTGGTATGGGTATGCCCATACAGAAAGACCCAAAAAAATATGATACAGGTAAGACTAGGGTACATCAATAATTTTTATATTTTTTTTATAGTTTGAGATTTAATCGACAAATCAAAATTCAATACCAAAACTAAAAGGAAAAATTACAAAACCAAAAGAGAAATCATAATTCAACAATAACAATACCAATACCAAAGCAAAGTCCATAAGCTATTTTAATGCCATTAATTAGAAGACATTACAAAACAAAGTTTCATTCCAAAAGCAAGTTAAGCAAAATTTGGAAACTTGAGACCTTAATTTTCGCTTCCATCAACTTCATCATTGAATAATACATCTTTTATCTCTGACACATCAAGTAAAGGATTTGCAATTTCAAATAAATCAAAACTCTCTAATAAATTAAACGTATCTCCACCAATGTCCCATAGTTTGGTGTATCCCTAATGTACCCATCCTGTACGCATGGAGTACCCAACTACCAAAGAATGTATAAAATGTACCCGGTACACATGCAAACCTATCAGTATGTATACCAGTACCCGATACAAGTATGGCAACATTTTCGGAGTACCCGTGCTTCATAGGTTGCAAAAACCATACCTCTCGGAGTTATCTGAACCCCAGCTTCGCGAGAGCACCATTGTCATCATTGCGATCCTTTGTATCACATAAATCACGGAAACATCTTATTGCAGCCCTCGTGATCTAGTTGTTGTCGCCTTCGCAAACCGAGACCACAACAAAGAGCTTTGTCATCGTCATCGTACACTAATCGTCTCAACAAGCCCATCTCCATCACCGCCAACTTTGGCAGTCATTGTCATTGTTAGAATTTACCATCAACTACCACCTCACCTACTCCACTAAACCTAACCCACTACACCACTACCACCTCACCTACTCCACTAAACCTAACCCACTACACCACTACCACCATCCACTACACCTACATCTATATAAGGAACCATTTGTAATAGACAGAAATTAATCAATATCAATCAATAATACATTGAATTTTAACTGTCATTCTA